TTTGAGATTCATGTGTTTTCAATTATAATGGCAAATATTAAATTGAACAGTAACCCATATTAGAAAACATGAAATTGTTTTTTGAGTCAATACTTCACTTGATAATCTACTGTGAAACAGATTTCTGCCGTTGTCATTATAAAAACAGTTTAAATGTAATTATCGACAAGGCAATGACTTGAACTGAAGGCTCATCACAGGGTTATAAAACATAGTCTAAGCGGAATTGTATCCTCAATCTTTATTTGAAGAATGCCATTCATTTGATGCTAAAAGCACCGAGAGGCATCTGAAATGGCGTTTAGAAGAATTTAGTAACGCATCCAAGGAGGCTTCAGATCCTCTCAAAAAGCAATGTAATATATTCTCAAATATAATTTTTACTAATTTTCTGTAGCAATTTAAGTCGTTCAAAATCTCAATTGAAATAGTTGTAAATAACTATTCTTCAATAAACAAAAATAAAAATAAAATGCATTTTCGCTGCAAGAGTGCATTGTGAGTTCGAATTTAAAAAGTTATTATTCGCTATATCTGTCTACATTCAAACTATTATATTCTGTCAATTGAAATATTGCTGAAATACACACAAACGTTTGGGTATAAAATATTATGTTGAAAGAAATTTAATACTACAATTATCAAAATTGCCTTTGTGATAAGTTGACAAGTGATAACTGTCCCTAACTTGCAAAGATTCCTCCAGCGCTTATTTAAAAGAACTAAAATTATATATAGGTACGGAAGTAAATGCAGCTGCACACCCAAACAAAGAGTTGATAAAATTTCACAAAAAACAGAAGAAATATTGGTGATATAAACATACTCAAAATACAGAGAAAGCATGTAACTTATAGAAGAAATTGATATCGATTAAAGGGGGAAATTTGGGGAAGTACTCGGCCAGAACCTAGAAGAGAGAGAACTGAATGATTCGTAATTAACGATAAATGCACGTCAATTCGATTCAATATGTTCCTGCGAATTTGTGAGACGAACAGTGAGCTCATTGAAATGCGCCGACGTGCTGCAGGAAGTGATCGTCCACAGCGGAAAGGACAGTGGCTGCAATGGAGGACTCTCGACAAGCGGTGGAGAGCGAGGAGGCGGCGTCAGCGGCTTCGATGGGGGCGAAGCAGACCGTAACGGGCGCAGAGGCGAGCACGGGGCAACGGGGGTGAAAGCGACAACCGCGCACGGACAGCTCCCGCAGAGGAGGCTCAACGGACGGCTAAGGCGCCGGTCTAGCGAGGACAGACGTCCATTGACGTAAAAACTGCTGAAGATGTTCAAGTCCACCCTTCTTGGGATTAGGGATGCGACATTAATGTTGATAAATTGGTAAAGGAAATAATCTTCACAAAAATTTTAATAATTTTCCAGAGTTAACTTTCGGGAAAACACTTTTCCCATCCTCAGTGGATCTCTAGCAAAATGATGAAATGAAAACATTAACACAAGTTGAACACAATAAAGGGGGTGTACAGTGAATTTAGTGGAAAAACAAACAATTAATATCATATTATACTATCATATTAAACATAATATACATATACATATACCTATACATATAATATTAAACATATAATATCATGATATTATTTGTTTGTTTTTCCACTAAATTCATTGTAGACCCCCTATCAACTCTGGAAAATTATTAATAAAAATTATTAAAACTTTCGTGGAGATTATTTCCTTTACTATATTATGGATTACCACAAGATACCTGCTACAATCACGGAATTTATTAATGTCGATGTTTTCAAATCGTCAATTTTTTAAAACATGTATTAATACCGATGATTTATTAACATCAATATTTTCGTGACGGTTGTTTTTTTTTCTTTTCCGCTGTTTTGTTTCTGAATGAAAAATCCCCGTGATCACATAACTGCAAATGTTAAAATGTGAAATAACTGATAGTAATACTGTTATCCATGTTTTGGAACCAAAGAAACGCTGTTTGCTCTATCTTCATTGACCAAATTCTCTCGCCCGAGATGACCTTTATGCCCTTGTATTTTCTCTTTCTTCATATTCATTTCGCACATTGTGATGTGCTCAACAAATACGCAGTGGGCGAAGGGTCTGCCCCTTCTTCTGGTTTCCTTATTTGGTGATTTTGATAAACACGAACACTGTCAAATTAAATTTTAATGCAAACGAATTTAATGTTAGCGGTTACTAAAATTAACTAAAACTGGATGTTGAAAAACATCTATGGTTTTTAGTGAATGTTTCTTGAACATAATGTTGTAATTTTGATCATCGTTGTTTGCTTTGGTTCCATTAGCGTAGTTAATGTTTCATCCCAGGAGGTGGTGACGTAGGTGAGATCCAGCGTCAACGTACATGGCACCCCTCCAGGTACCTCCCCCCAGCGGGGCACCGCTCCAGCCGTGACAAACTCTGAGCTTCCGACAAGCTTCCTGACATGTGGGGTAGTGTACAGTATTTAATTTTAAGTATGTATAAGAGAAGAGGGTAAGAAAGAGGAAGGAAATATCGCGCGCAAATTTTTAATGGTAGTGCCCCGGCCTTCGCCTGCCACTGATTAAAGAAACTGCGGAAAAACTACCGCTCAGAGCAGTCGGCCACTAGAATTCTCCTCCAGACAGCGGTTGGACACCAGCTAAATAGCTAGAGTCGAAAATCCGCCACCGTCGGGATTCGAACCCAAGGACATTCCTGTCAGATACGCTATAGAGTCAGCGGGAATGCAGCAATGGCTCCTTAAACCTTCATATAATTTGTTTTATGATGTGAGAATTTTATTCTTCTCGGCCAGAGTGTCTTCTCAATCAGTTACGTAGGCCCTTCTAAATCGAGTCTCATAATTCGTGTAGCCAAGATTCTCTACAGACCCATTCCCGCTTCATCCGCATATGCCAATTTTGTAAAAGTATCTCTGCCTGGATTTGTAAGGAAACGAGTTAGAAATAGAATATGTGGTGGGTTGGAGAGCCCTAACAAGCCCCAACACAGTGATTTCTAACGCGTAATTCGAACAGAGAGCCTTGGTGCAATGCGTAATTGCCCCTAGTTCCTGAACAACTAAGCCGGCAAGAAATGGAAGACAGTCGATGGTAGATGGGGGAGCCTTGCCATGCCACAACACAAGTAAACATCCATGATCGTGGTAGGTTTCGATTCCACGACACTGAGTCGAAAATATTCAGGCGCTCCCACCCTAACGATGTCGGTTATCCATGTTTTTTGTTTTGCGATATATATTGTATAAAATATAATGGTATTTCGCTATATCGGTTTTTAACCCAGGAACAAGAAGTGGGAAAGAAAGTTAATCTCGAACTTTCTCAGCTACAAAATGTATAATATAGTCGAAGATCTGCGTCCCTAATAAATGTAGGAGTAATGTAATAATAGTGTTATTAATAATATTAGTGAAATAACGTACATTGGATATCCTAAATAGTGTGTGTTTAATTGTTAACAAAATAAATCACTATCTGGAATATCTTTATTAGGAAGTGGATAATTATTTCGGTATATACTACATCAGATATGCATTTTACGTGTTCTCATACATCATTACTGTCACCAATATTATCATTTTCATAATAATTGTTATGAGGGGTTTATCCGGCTTATCTATATGAAAAAAATAATATTCAAGCTACAGAGATGAAGTTTTTAAGGAGAGTAAAAGGTTGTACAACGCTAGATAAACAAATAAATAAATATATAAGAAAAGAATGAAATATAATTCGTTTAAATGATTTGTATACAACTTTACAAAGAATACTGGAAAATACATTTAGAAAGAATGGAGCACAATAGGCTACCTAAACAAGTGCTGCAGTACAACCCAACAGGAAGAAGGAGTGTAGGAAGACCACGCAAAAGATAGTTTGAAATGTGAACACGGACCAGGCAGCCGCCTAATCCCTGAAGTGCAGAAGAAGAAGATTATGAGGAGGATATTATTTTTTTACATTCGAAAACCATTTTATGATTTCTCTATTTTAGGAGGTTGTTGGGCGATATCTCTAAAACCACTTAAATGTCTGGTAATGAATATTAGCTTTATAATGAATACGAGAATTCTTATCAAATCCTATTTTATATTATTTGGCTGCTAGGTAGTACGTAGGTGGTGCGTTCAAAATCAACACAATCGTGTTTCCAACTTGTGAATTGATTCCATAGTTCGAAAATTGATTCCATTTCCACATTCCTGTTTTCAATGAACCATAAACAGCCCAAACGGAATCTCTTGGGAAGAAAGTAAAAAGCAGCCGTCCACTCCTGGGGGCGGGGCTGCACGGTCCAGAAACCGCGAGAGCCTAGGCGACGACGGCGTCGCGGCGCCGGGGGCAATGACTTGAGCGCCTCGGCGCCCTCAGGCCGAAGAGGGCAGTGAGCCCAAACAAAACCAAACGCACTCAATGGGTATTATATCTTACTTCGAAGTAAGTATTTCAATGTAGTCCGAGCACATTATATCTTACTTCGCAGTAAGTATATCAATACAGTCCAATAAAGGGGGAAAATATAAACAATACTCAACTAAAAATAGGCTATATAACGTTCACTTTGTTAATAAACTTTCCTTAACCTTTTAATTTAGTTTCAATCTCTGATTTTTGTGGTATGGATAATTTTCCAACCAGCGAATGTAGCAGAACATTCCATTTAGCAAAATAAAAAATACGAGACAAAAAAAAAAATTATATTATTTTTTCCAGTATCCCCTTTATGTAGTGTTTTCATCAATGAATCTCTTCTTTTTACATCATTCCATTACATGCGTATAATATTTAAAAATGATTCCATCACATAATTTCATTATCAGCTCCCACTCGTTCATCATTTATTACTTCACTGTTTAGATCCAATCATTTTTAAGGCAAAGTGTTGGCTAAACCGAATTTTCTTCACATGAGCCGAGACCACTGCGCGAGATCTCTCGCCACGCAGAAGTTCCAAACGAACATCTAATTACAAAAACAAGCAAGGTTAAATGCCGTTGATTTTACATACAGGTGTCTATTACTACACGCAATTATAATAAATATATGATAATAGCTGTTTCTTCTGAACAAAACAAAAACAATTCTCGATAGTCATTATCCTCTCCGGAAAATCTTCAGTTTTTAATCGAGACACTGGAGAGGACGGTAGCAGCTCTAACCGCCGACTGCGCAGGTGAATTTAGAATTACGTAGGATACGCGATCCTTTATTTATTTTCTATTTTGTTTTATTACTTCTTTATTTTATTTTATTTTTAACATTTTTTCCATTTAATTTTGTTTCCTTTCTACCTCGTTCGTTTACTCTTTTCCGCGCGCACTTTTTCGTCCCACTGCTCGGCGGGGCGCGGGCGCGAGCGGGGGCGGCTGCGACAAGTAGGACGCGCGCGGCCTGCGGCGGCTGAATGCTGATGGGCGGCCGCCGGGCGCTCGCCGCCGCCGGCGCCGCTGGCGCTCCATCAGCATGGACGCCGCCGCGCCGCCGCGACCCCTTCGAAATTGGGGATAAACGTCGCGCACGAGGGGCCTTGACGCCGTGTCGCCACCTCCGCGCGCCCTCGCGCGACTTCCAAGGGGCGTGCCGCGCCGCGCCGCTGCGGTGGGACGAGCGGGACGAGCGGGACGAGCGGGACGAGCGGGACGAGCGGGACGAGCGGGACGAGCGGGACGAGCGGGTGCCGAGGCGAAACTTCCGACCCTCTACAAACAAGAATCCGCCCACCGTAGTGCCGTGGCAATCTCGGACTGAACGATCGCGGATTCGAGCCCCGCCTTGGGCATGGTTGTATTTGTGTTCGTCCTTTCACCCTCTATCATGTCATCTTCACAGTTGCCATACCGTTAAATGCAATAGTGGTCGCTAATGACCTACATGGTGATGCGACCTTCAATAACAAAAATGAATCCGCTCTATAGTTCCCAAGGACAATTTTCGCTAACCTTAAACCAATCGCATAACGCTTACATTCTTAATCTAATTTATATATAAACCAGTGGTGCTAAAACAGCACATACTTTCTCGTCCTTAGCAATGATTACGTAATACTATTTATATCGCAATTTCTCTCCAAATTAACACATCATCTTTTTTGTCCAAATTCAAATTTTCGAAAAATTGTTCATTTAATTATTTAAAGAAAGACAGAAAAAGATATTTGCGCTGTAAACTGAACATGACATGTTGGCCAGTACAGGGAGCAAATAATTATTATATTTATAATTACATTACGTAATTAATAGTTGAGGAGAGAATGTTTATATCTAAAGGTGATTATAGAGAGATAAACAGTAGTAACTGTAATTCACTAGTTGATGAAAAATACAAAATATTCAGTAGTGTTAGTCTTTAATGGCGGTGATAACAAGCTATTAAATAAATTTGGGTGAAATGGGAACATTGCAACCAGCAGAATGCAGTAGAAGACGCCTAACGACGAGTAAATATACTGATGATTTTAATGCATGTCAAATTTAAAAAATTCCCTAAAATAATAAAACGTTGAGAGTGAAACAAATAAGATCGTCGCCATGGTATAATTACGAGCAGAGAAGAACTATAGAACAGCAAAAAAATATATAATGAATTAATGAATTTACTGTGCATTTGCGCCTAAGTAAATATTTGAGCAGCTCTTGTCACATTGTACTCAGAAAGTCAAGTAAATAATAGTTTTTGTGATGCACCGGAACTGCTGAACAGACGATCTTAATTGTAGAGACAATGTGATAAGTGAGGTAGAGAGTTGCTGTAGTTAAGAGGGTCACCACAAGCAGAGAAAATCAACAAAGAGAAATATATTGGTAGTTGACATGAAAAGATCTAGTAGAGACATTTTTTTGCAGTATTTAAAGTGGTATGAGTTATAAAGTACATTTCAGTGAGTGTTGTATGATTCAGAAAACAAAGTTTTGAAAAATTCAAATCAATTAGTCTTGAGGAGGTTGGCCCTCTACTTCCGTGACAGAGGTGAGTAATAAATCAATGTCACAAAGACTTTTTCAATATTATATAATACAAAAATGTCAATTCCTGTTTGGTCGTACAGAGCAGCCTCTTGTTGGCAAGGTTTTTTTATATTCCACAATATAATTTACAATACATTTTTGAAATAATCAGTAAATGTTTGATATCTATAATGTAAATAATAATAATGTAAAGATATTTGCAATAGAAAACGAATTGTAGCTCGAAGAAAGACGTTATCACAGCGTCAAAATTAAATTTTTAAAATCAGTCGTTTACCTCTAACCCAAAACAAATGCTTCATGTCTTTTCTGGAACACTAGGTAACGTCATTTATTTGTTTCAAGTTGCAATTTAAACTTGCGATAGGCGAACAACAGAATGTCACGGGTCGAAGCTACAAAGAGATAAAAATAATATAATATAAATTATAACTTTTTGTGGGCTTCCGTGGTTAATCGGTAGGCGAATCGGACTGGTATGTTCAATTTGTGCTTAAATCCGATCGAATTCGTGGATTTTTAATGGCAAAAAAATCCTTCGTACACCATCCTTGCAAGGGTATGAAACATGATGGTCCGATGTTGTAGATTTACTGCATGTAAAAACATTAAAAAATTAAGCCTAATAGCAGCTTTTGAAGAACACATCAAGCTATCTTGCGCTGCTAGATAGCGAAAGGGGCGAAACGACGTATGTTTGGTATGAATAGGCGGAAGAGTAGACGTGTTGGCCTGAACCTATGTACCTGGTCACGTGAAATAGGACTCCAGAAATATAGATGGTTTTGAATTTTCACGAATTCTTGGGCGTCTAACTAAACACTACACGCGTCTCACGTGACGGAGGTTGCACAGATATTATTCAATTGTTGTGCACGTATGGAATTAGCCATATAAATTCCCACATTGTTTATGACCTTCGTGATCACATCACTGGACGTTAAAGTCGTGAATCGCATGAGAGGAGGCGGCGGCAAACGATGACTGTTTAGAAATGTTACAGGACTGCAACCAGAAAGGTTGTAGTGGTTCACCCCCCTCAGTGTTAGACTCAGAATAACATTTGGCGAAGGAAATAAAAGAGAAGGTGGAGCAAATTTTAAATGATACTTGCAGGATTCAATCTTGTGTGGCACTCAAGAACCGACTTACCGAACGTCAATATTTCATTACACTGTATCGGCTTCACACGTTTTCTCCGAGTTTCCAAATGCCAGTCGTTTGGATACCACTCTAAAATATCGAGATTTTATTTTTATCCCCCATGAATTAAATAGAACTTTTAAGTTTCTCTGTTTCATTTTTGATTAAAAATAATCCACATAATGTAACACATTTTCTGTGTCTGTTATGTATGTAACCCAAATTTATTTCCTTAAATAAAATATTTAACTTCGTTACATCAGATATTTAACAAAATTATATCAGAATACATGACTACCATTCTTAACTTATATTTTTTTGTTCAAACGTCTGTGGTTTTGCGCATGTCTTCATTTATCACAATTCTTTGAGAAATTTAGAGCACTCGCTCGAAGTTGAAGTTATAGTGTTAACATTTCTTAATTACAGACACATTTTAATTTAGTCTCTATTCAGGAAGTGTAAGAGGAAACCTTCACACTTTTGATCCCACGTCAAAAAGCCGATCCATTTGATCACAACTTGTGTGCACAGCTACAGATGGACGAGGGACGAGGGACAACGTACAGCTCCAAGCAGGCGTCTCGGTTGACTCGCGTGCGATTCGTCACGGTTGAAGGCGCGTTGAAAGTTGAGCAACTAGTGAAGATCTGCGAAGTTTCTCGGGAGCAAAAGCCTTAGTGTATAGGAAAGCTAACGAACAGAAAACCAGTGAATGACCACAGAGACGTTCTGCAGACATCTGCATCTGAAGGTAGAAATGTATGTGTAACATTATTCTACCGTAATAACGCTGTTCACGCCTCAGGAATTTTCCGTTGTGTTTCTAACAATTCACGAACGTAACACTATTTGTCTTAAAATTTTCTGTTATCGACTATTCAAAGCAGTACAGTGGCATAAATTAAGAAAGTAGGAAAAATTGATATTTTTTTTTATTAAGAGTATTATTTAAAAGTTATTATTCATCATTATTACAGAGGAATTTAGTAATTTCTTCTCAGACTTACCACAATAACATTCCATTTTTACATATTATATTCCAACTGTATTACTAATTTCCAATGCATGTAGATATTGAAATAAAATTATGCAACCTTCGCTCATGTGAGAGTTGTCTATGGTTTCGATAGTTGTTTTCAGGAACTCGAGAAAAAATATTTCAAAAAATAAAAAAAAAAATTCACTGTAACAGTTTTGATTTTTACTGAAAAATGCAAATATTTGATTTGTTATTCCGTCTATTATGATTCTGCCCGTACTGCCTGCCTTCTCATTCTCCCTGAGCACTGGTGACAATACAGCAGGCGTCACGCGACAGTAAGGTTCAACGGATGAGGCCACCCTCCACTAAATTAATGCTACTCGCGCATTGGGTTATGGAATAGAAACTTTTATTTTATATTTTTGGTATGTGAAGAACCGTGTATCAAAGTACATACTGAGTTACAGCAGTAGTATAAGATTGTTCTTGCCGAAATATTTAATATGGCCTATCCGGTCACCTTTGTAGGCAGTTTAATTCCGAGTTCGGAGACGGTTAAATGCCTCTTCATTGCAGCACTGTAAAAGAGTATCTGTCCATTGTAACGATAAACAACAGAAAACTTGCTGCCAGTAAGCTAAACAATACGATGCACACAAAAACATTATTTTGTTGAAAAATGAGAAAATACACATATAAACACACTAAAATGTAATAATTTATTAGTGAAAATAACACACTTACTTATAATACTTATCAAATAATAGAAAATAATACACACTTTCGTCTACATTCCTATGAATCTGCATAAAGTATCAGTGCAAAATAAGCTAATATAACTTCCTCGCATGTGTTCTTAACATTTCTTTCTCTCTCCACTTGACAAATTTCTTCGTATTCTTTTACGATATACTATATATATTTACA